CAGAACATGGTTACAGACCTTCATTGTAACAGTCCCTAGAACAATGTATGACTGACAATATACTGGACACAATGATACAGAACCACATTTCAGAACATGGTTACAGACCTACATTGTAACAGTCCCTAGAACAATGTATGGCTGACAATATACTGGACACAATGATACAGAACCACATTTCAGAACATGGTTACAGACCTTCATTGTAACAGTCCCTAGAACAATGTATGACTGACAATATACTGGACACAATGATACAGAACCACATTTCAGAACATGGTTACAGACCTTCATTGTAACAGTCCCTAGAACAATGTATGACTGACAATATACTGGACACAATGATACAGAACCACATTTCAGAACATGGTTACAGACCTTCATTGTAACAGTCCCTAGAACAATGTATGACTGACAATATACTGGACACAATGATACAGAACCACATTTCAGAACATGGTTACAGACCTTCATTGTAACAGTCCCTAGAACAATGTATGACTGACAATATACTGGACACAATGATACAGAACCACATTTCAGAACATGGTTACAGACCTTCATTGTAACAATTGTAGAACACTGTCCTCTGTACTGCCTGACCAGACCACAGCCGTTGGACAAAAACACGATGATTAAACATAGATGAGAAGAGGCATGTATGTTAACCCCAGGCCCTGGCCAAGTGGTAATTGTTTTAGTTGCCTGTCTGTAGATAGATCACTTGATTAAGCTGCAGAGAAATTCCCACAATTGAAATACAAAAATTGCATTTCCCTTTTGGTACAATGCCCTCAAGGCCCGGTAAATCAGGTGTCAAGGAGTCTGGTGGTACCAAAATATTCCTCATCTCTATGTTTAGTCGTTCAAGGTTGCTGTTTTGGGAATTACATAATGAACGTTCTATTTTTGCATATTTTGTTAAAGAAACATATTGGCTTTGATAGTATATTTATATTTTGTGACTGCAAAAATTGTTTGCTTTGGTAGTTGACACACCTGTCCTCAACACTATTCTTACTACATTAGCTGATATTAGGGGCACAGGTGGCCCAGTCATCTAAGGCTGCAATTTTCTTTGCAGAGTTTGGTCCCTAGGGCATGCCAGAAGCATGTTGGTGTTGGTTCAAATCTTGGTTTGCCCTGATTCTTTTAATGGGTTTGTCAGCACCATACCCATGCTCGTGGGTTTTATCGAAGTGGTAAACGTCCGAGACCTGCATCACTTCAGGCTTTCCTCCCACATTAAGCTGACACTCTGTGATATAACTGGAACACTGTTCAAAATGGTGTTAAACCAAACGCACTCTCAATACTAGCCGATATCAAACAGTTGTGATGTTCACGCTATGTCGATGTGCATTGTATTTCCTCAAGCTCCCTACAGTGGTCCCTCATTAATAATATTAATAATAATAGTACTGTCCATTTATATGACGCTGTACTCCATGCATAAGCATGCTCTAAGCATTATTACCCCGGTCAATGGATCAATGTGCAATCAGCAATCATTCTCAGCTCCCTGGGGAGTATACAACCCAAGCTTCCTGTTAGGCACTAGAAGGTTAACCAAATTGCCATCTCATCCTACCAGGTATCAATGCACTGCTGGTCATTGTACTACGTCTAAAGTACACCAATAACAAAATTATTGTGTCATGCACTGGGATGGTATTTGTTACTCATATCACCTGATACTGAAAATATTTTTCACTGTGACAACTGGTCTAGTGGTAGAGCATCCATTCTGAGGGTGGAGGGTCCAGGGTTCGATAAAGGCTGCATTATTCAAAAAGATGTTAGAAGATGGTAATTGTTGTTACCCTGCCTGGTGCTCAGCATTAAGGAGCTTAAACTAGGACTGGTTGGCTTGGAGTCGGTATACTATTTCTGAGTGGGGTATTCATGTTAAACTGCGGCATGGTATCTCAGTAGTCTGGCACTATAAAATCGGCATTAGTCCGGACTAGTACAACCAGTCGCTCACACGTGCATGCACATCACTATATAAGTGCAATAATCTTGGACAAGTCATTAAACCCCATTTCACCCCCAGACTAATATAAGCAGCCGCACACATCGCTATGTAAGTACAATAATCTTGAACGCAACAGTAAACCCCATTTCACCTCACCTCACCTATCCTTTGGTAGTACCGTATATCGCTGTGTATAAAGCGACCCCATGTATAAGACGACCCCCCTGTACACGCCTTAAAAATCAACCCCAAATCCTATACTCCGTGTATAAGGCGACCGGGAATGAAACATATCACAAGTCTGACTGATATAGAAGATTAACGTGCGCTTTCCGACTGTAGCGTATTTCGCACACGGACATCAGAAGTTAGTTAGTTACTTTGGAGATTTAACGTGCGCTTTCCGACTGATGCGTATTTCGCACACATCACAAGTGCGCCCACAAACCTTATATATGCAATAAAAATATGTTTATCTTGCGTTGTTTTTTTTCTACAACGATAGGTCGCGTGTGTAACTCCAGCACACGTCGCCATTTTGTGTTTACACGGTACGACACAAAATTGGGGCCCGTAAAATAAAATTCATTTATGAAGTAATAACATATAAGAGACAATGGTGAGTAATTTAATCGCCAATTAACTATGTTGTAACTAACTAGGCTTATGTTTGCTTCACATTCAGCGTGTTTATTCCACAATCACTTGTACACACCGTCTCCAACACTTGTTAATACAACTGTAAAAACAGCGGGAATTGATTTCAGCTTCACCGGTTATCACATGTTAGGTCACATGTGCAATATGCAAATGCTTACCGGTACTTCCGGCTCTCTACTCGCGGATGTTGATTGTTTTACCGTGTCAATCTGCATCGAGGCGAGGGTCATTTCAACTTTATTTGCAGAAATTATTAAACTTTATTCAAGGAAAAGAGATACAAATCATGTTTATGTATGGAAATAGTTATTGGAACAGTTATTGAGGACGAAATGCGAAGTTTTATTGTCAAATGCTGGGCTGGCTATCGGACGCCGGTTGACATCGCCAGTGGGAAAAAATGTGAGATCTTCGACTCCGTGTATAAGACGACCCCCCTTCTTAGCCCCCTTATTTTAGGTACGAAAAACTCGCCTTATACACAGCGATATACGGTATATTCTTTTCAATTTAAAATTCATTATCGTATTCAAACCATTTCAAGTTCCTTAACTTATGAATGAATGATCTCCTACTTCTAGTGTTCCATTCCACACGCACACACCCGCATGCATGCACACAGACACACGTGGGGGCGGGCGGGTAGTCTTGTGGTCAAAGTGTTTGCTTGTCACACCAAACCGGGCTTCGATTTCTGACATGGGTACAATGTGTGAACCCCATTTCTGGTGTCGCCCAACGTGATATTGCTGGAATATTGCTATACCATCATCACTCACTCACTCACTCACTCACTCACACACACATGTGGGGGTGGTCTGGTAGCCTAGTGGTTAAAGTGTTTGCTTGTCACGCCGAAGACCTGTGTTCGATTTCTGACATGGGTACAATGTGTGAAGCCCATTTCTAGTGTCGCCCACCGTGATATTGCTGGAATATAGGTAGGACAGCAATCACAGTGCATCTTGTAGTAGTCCTAATTGATGAGCACTTGGGTGATACAAGTTCCAGGTTTCCTCAGATTTCTTCAGACATATCGGCAGTTTTAACTGTTTGAAGTCTTTGTTGAAGTAGAGGTGGGGTGAAATCGGGTTAAACGTCGCATCAAAGATTATTGTACTTATATAGCGACGTGCATGCACTTGTGTGTGTGTGGCTGCAGTTTAACATGAATACCCCACTCAGACACAGTATACAGAATCTGAGCCGACCAGTCCTTGTTTTAGCCCCTTAATCCCAAGCGCCAGACAGGATAATAACAAGTACCTCCTTTAAAGTCTTTTGGTATGATCCGGCTGGGGATCAAACTCCAAACCTTCAGCTCCGGGCAGACTCTCTACCAGGCGGTTGTTGAAGTAGAGTCTTTTAGAGGTCATGTTGTTGGTCACATGGAAACCCTAGCACTGCTAGTGCTAACTATTGCAGAAGCAAGCACAAAAGCAATACCGGTAGTTCCCTAGTGATGAGTATTGTTTGAAGTCGTGGAGGGGCTGCATGAGAACAGGTTGAGAATCGCCCATGAACCTCAAGCCTTTCCTGGTGCTAGCAATTTTAGAAGCCACACAGTGCAAATACTGGTAGCTCAGAGGAGACCAACATGTATTAAGCTTACCATCTGTAAGTACTAGGATAATGTCAATGTGGATCGACCTTGTCAAGCCATATGAGAAAGCAAGCATTGTATAAATGTGTAGTCTACAATGGTGTGAATTGATGGACACTTTGGTGATCATCAGTTAAGTGAACATACGTCCTAACAATGTTGGTTGGTCTTGTTTCTTGGTGTAGTGCAGTGTGCAGTGTCAGTATTCTCTAGAGGAACCGTGGAGATGTGGGGTAGAATAGGTCTTCAACAACCCATGCTTGTCGTAAAAGGCGACAATGCTTGTAATAGGTGACTAATGGGATCGGATGGTCAGGCTCGCTGACTTTGGTTGATGCATGTCCTTGTATCCCAAATGCGGGGATCGATGTCTGGTCCAGACACAATTATTTACTGACCCCATCATATAGCTGGAATATTTTTGAGTGCTGTGTTAAACAAAAAACAAGCCAACAAACAAACAAAATTCCCTAGAGCAACTTGAGCATTTGCAAGTTCAGGCTAATAAGACAATTTACCTTATGTGAGAATTGAAAATAGTCTGCGTCTTGTTTATACTGTGTTTCCTGTGAGCATCGTGTCAGTCATACATCATTAAACCACATGAACCCGCGGCTGGGAAAGTTGAAACATTTCATGGATGAACCAACAATGGCATCTGTGTATCAAGACCGGATATGAAAATGGCTTTGTCAGTTTATGTTCTTTTTCAAATATGTATGACAGAATGAAAATCATATATGCTGTATAATTTTTCAGAAAACTGGCCCCAGGAAGAAGTGCATAGCGTGCAAGGTCGTTGCCCACACAGCCTGTGTTCCTGTGTTAGAGCAGGTGAGCTTCTGAACATTTATACTCGTGAGTGAATGAGAGAGTGAGTGAGTGAGTTGTATTGAATACCATGTTGAGCAATTTTCCTTTTACATCATGGCTTGCTTGCTTGCTTCGTTTTTTGGAAGAAGCATGCCTTTGGCACTTTACACTATGATGACGCCACAAGCAATGTTGCTGGCAGACTATTGATCAAATGGGGTCAAGTCTGGGATTCAGACTCACAACCAACAGATCCAGACTTCAAAGGGACGCAACTCTGCTTGGCTAATTTCATTGTCTTAGACAACAGGATACCTGTTCTCTTTACACTGAGATCAGACTTTTGTTTTCTATGGCCTGTTGGTTTGAAAAAATATATGATGACCAAATATAGGATAGCTACGTGATAAATCACAAAGAACAACGAAGAATGAAGCTGGTTTATTTTACTATAAAACATTGTTCTATCATGACATCATTTCTGGAGATTCAAACATGCGCTTGCCACTTGATGACGTTGTAAATTGGACAACGTTATTATTGAGAGGGAGGGGTGGTCGGGTAGCCTAGTGGTTAAAGCGTTCGCTCGTCATGCCGATGACCCGGGTTCGATTCCCGACATGGGTACAATGTGTGAAGCCCATTTCTGGTGTCCCCCGCCGTGATATTGCTGGAATATTGCTAAAAGCGGCGTAAAACCATACTCACTCACTCACTATTGAGAGGGAAGTGTCTAGTGAGCTGTTCCCTGTAGAAGTAGGTGGGCAACGTGGATAAACACAAAGGTCGAACAATTGCATCCAAAAGTGGGAGAGATGTGACATTCAGTATTGGGAGAAAAGGTACAGATAATTGACATGCAAATTATGAGAATATGCGGAAAAGACCGAATTTAACCCCCCTGTTCATAAAATGGAGTTGTCCGACATTGCCGAGGTCATATTCTTTTTAGAGAGTCATTTTGTTAACATCCTTAAAGAGGCTGTACATAATGTTGATACCTTATAAAAGGAATAAACGACGAGTGGGAGTTGTGTATTGTACAATAAAACACTGCAGGGAGAATAATTATAAATACTACTTACATCGGCAATATTACAGCCATAACGTGACGATTGTCAATGGGAAACTGGAGGTATAAACTTTTACACTTCACTCCAAAGTGAGTGAGTATGGTTTTAGGCCGCTTGAAGTAATATTCAAGCGGTGTCACGGCGGTGGACACCAGAAATGGTCTTCACGCATTGTACACATGTGGGGAGACAAACCCGAGTCCTCGGTGTGACGAACAATTGCTTTAACCACTAAGCTACCCCACCACCAAAGACAAAGGTTCTTTTTGTACAGAATTGATACATTTTTTAGTTAAAAAGAACAAAGCAACAGATAAATATTCGATTTACTTTTACTTATTGTGAAATTCTATATTTATAGATGCAAATCCTTACTACAAAACCCGGTTTTCATGTTCATGCGCCTAGTCTTAGTGTCTCACTCCTGTCAATCACTGGAATGAAAGTGTCAGATGACCCTATGTTTAAATAGATGAGGACATTCTGAACGAAAAGAGTCTAAGAATGATTTCCTCTATTATTTTTCGTTTCCCGAGCCTGCCACCCCTACTGAAAAGCAGCCAGTCTTACAAATATATTAAACATACAAATATATATCTTTATTATGTCTCCCTGCTAGTAGTACAGACCCTCTTATACACTATAAAATGTTATATATAAATTCCATGTCTACATCACTATCAGTGATTCAAGACGCCAGCTGCAGTTTTGACTCCAAGGCTGAATGATTTTCATATAAATAAATAATTGACATTTATTTTTATTTCGACTGACCTTGTGTGGAAAAGCGTGACTAAACCCGTGAAACATAAACTTAAAAAAGTGAAGCCAAAATGTGAAAAAATGGAACTATGGGTGAATTGTGATTGATCAGAATTCTAGAAGTAAGTGAGGGAAAAAAATAATGTTGTATGGTTGTTTAACAATGAATTAATCCAGTGGGAAACAACATTTAACCAGAGCAACAACAAGTTGGACTATGCACCTGTCCTCTAAGATACTGTGAACAAGCATTGGGTTTGACCTGTTTGCTCTGTGTCTTGAACATTTTACTGGGTTATTGTGCCTGTCTTCCAACAATACAGTTTCATTGCATATCTGTTTCTGTGTCACTATTGAAATTGTTTTCGTAATACACAAAAAAAGTTTTTGAAATAAATATACAGGGTTTTTTTTATAAGATTTCATAAAACTTTGGGAATCACATGTAGCCCTTTCACTGTTTTTATCCAGAAATATGTGGCGCTTGATTATATATGATGTGACAGCCACTATTGCAATTGTTTTTCGTGCAACAGTTTTTAAAAATCAAATCAAAGGGTTGTGTTTCTTATAAAATTTGACTTAACTCTGAGATTTACATGGAGTTCTTTTAATGTTTTCATCCTGAAATATGTAGTGTTTGATGACATGTGATGTGACATCATCAGTCACTTTTGTGGTTCGTAATACAGTTATTTACATAAGTTAAAGGGTTCTGTTTTTATGAGATTTCATTTAACTGCTTTGGGATTCACATGCAACTCTTGTAACATTTCATCCAGAAATATGTGACGCTTGATGATATGTGATGTGACTGTTTTAAGCCGTCTGCTCCAAGCCGTCTGCTCCATGTCACATGACACTGAAACACAAGAGGCATGTTGCTGATTATGTTCTCAAGATATTCCTGTTGAACCACATTGAAGTTTTCTACGAGTCCTGACTTGATACCCGGTTTTATCTCTCGACATACACATGACTGACTCCATCTTGGGGCAGAGGCTCCAATTTGTCATGATCACGTCTTTGATGATTTCTGAAAGATGTCTGTCGTGTCAGGGCTTGCTGGCATCAACCTTGATGCTGCGCTGGTAATTCTACAAAGGCATCTTATCAAGACAGGCATATTGTTCAAACCCATCCAGACATGCTTGTGAGATACGGACACATTCCTGTAATCCCGAAATATCTGAGTGAATAATTCATCCCCATGACCTGATGACCCATACACTGCAGAGTCAGGATCTGGTAATGCTTGACTTGTGCAATGTATAGAAATTACCCGATTAGATGTTCAGTTTGTCTTTAGAATGGGATTCCATGAATCATGAAATGCACAGTTTGTATTATGGTTGATGTGATGGCTGAACGATGGCAAAACAAGAGGGAAGTGCTTTGCATGGTGATTTAATCGGAGCTGAAAGCTGTCAAAGACTAACGAGTGTCAAGGAAGTGACATCATAGTCTCGTTATCTCGTATGACAAATGAGCAGGCGGCAGGAAGTGCAAAGGGTTCCTCTATATCGGTTTGAAATATGAAGTCGTGTTATGAAACTATCATCAAATATCAGCTTATTTCATATTGCCTCAGTGTTCCATGCCTTCTGTTCAGTATGATCGCAAAATGTATGACTTGATTCCAGAATTATGTTTTGGGGGCAAACTAAGTATTTGTTTGTCTGTATATGTCCAGCAATATTCCAGCTGTATGGCAGCAGTCTGTAAATAATCAAGCCTGGGCCAGACAATGTGGTGATTGATATGATGGACAATGATCCACTCATTTGGGCTACAATGACATGAAGACAACCAAATCAGAAAGCCTGACCACCTGGTCCATTTAGTTGTTTATTGTGAAGTTGTTGAGATCCTGTACTCTTACCGTGAAGCCCCTCAGCGTAAATAAATAAAGCGACAAAACCCTTTCCATATCCAATATTGAAAGACAGGGGGCAACGGTCACCCAGGCAGCTAAGGCGAAACAGTTCACTGTGCAGAGTTATGTCCCTTGGGCACACCAGAAACCTAAGACCATGGGTTCGAATCCCAGTTCACCGTGATTATGTTTTTGGGTTTGTTGGGACCGTACCCAGGTTTGTGGGTTTCACCAAAGTGGTAAACGTTTAATCAAGGGGTTTGTTGGCACCATACCCAGCTTGTGGGTTTCACCAAAGTGGTAAACGTTTAATCAAGGGGTTTGTTGGCACCATACCCAGCTTGTGGGTTTCACCAAAGTGGTAAACGTTTAATCAAGGGGTTTGTTGGCACCATACCCAGCTTGTGGGTTTCACCAAAGTGGTAAACGTTTAATCAAGGGGTTTGTTGGCACCATACCCAGCTTGTGGGTTTCACCAAAGTGGTAAACGTTTAATCAAGGGGTTTGTTGGCACCATACCCAGCTTGTGGGTTTCACCAAAGTGGTAAACGTTTAATCAAGGGGTCTGTTGGCACCATACCCAGCTTGTGGGTTTCACCAAAGTGGTAAACATTTAATCAAGGGGTTTGTTGGCACCATACCCAGCTTGTGGGTTTCACCAAAGTGGTAAACGTTTAATCAAGGGGTTTGTTGGCACCATACCCAGCTTGTGGGTTTCACCAAAGTGGTAAATGTTTAATCAAGGGGTTTGTTGGCACCATACCCAGCTTGTGGGTTTCACCAAAGTGGTAAACGTTTAATCAAGGGGTTTGTTGGCACCATACCCAGGTTTGTGGGTTTCACCAAAGTGGTAAACGTTTAATCAAGGGGTTTGTTGGCACCATACCCAGCTTGTGGGTTTCACCAAAGTGGTAAACGTTTAATCAAGGGGTTTGTTGGCACCATACCCAGCTTGTGGGTTTCACCAAAGTCGTAAATGTTTAATCAAGGGGTTTGTTGGCACCATACCCAGGTTTGTGGGTTTCACCAAAGTGGTAAACGTTTAATCAAGGGGTTTGTTGGCACCATACCCAGCTTGTGGGTTTCACCAAAGTGGTAAACGTTTAATCAAGGGGTTTGTTGGCACCATACCCAGCTTGTGGGTTTCACCAAAGTGGTAAACGTTTAATCAAGGGGTTTGTTGGCACCATACCCAGCTTGTGGGTTTTACCAAAGTGGTAAACGTTTAATCAAGGGGTTTGTTGGCACCATACCCAGCTTGTGGGTTTCACCAAAGTGGTAAACGTTTAATCAAGGGGTTTGTTGTGGCT